CCCCATGGGAGGGGATACCCGGGATACAGTGGGATTGCGCACACTGCTTGCACATGTCTACTGGTTCGGTGTGTTCCCCCTGAGTCTGGGGAACCCATGGAATAATGGCTTCGAGAACTCGTGCCGATGTTTGGCCAGTGCGAACTCAAATTGCCAACTGCAATATGCGAAAATATAAATGTGGTGCGCAATTAACGACTGGGGGAAGAAATGTAAGAAGCTTTCTCTAACAAATCATCAATATGAATCATTTAACATTATTTCTTGACGATTGTTTTTCCTACAATGTTTTTCCTCGGAGTGTGTTTAGTGCGGGCATGCAAATGTTGGTCATTTAAAGTCAAGTCCGACTATTGTCGGAATGTCATGTTCCAAAATTGACCAGAGCACTCGGACTGGCATCATCTCCAGCACTGCTCCTCCGTCGAAAGTAGCCATTGCATGAGAAAGGTTTGTAAATTACATTTTTGAGCGCGCTGTGAAATGCAAGTAGCTAAGCGTCGGGTATCGATGCAGATTGGCTTGGAGCACAGCAGACACATGGACACCCAATGAGAATGCAGCTTAAATTGCATATGCAAAAGCTGGAATGGCTACACCAAAAAATATTAGGTTACAAGTTCATAATATTTTTACTTCTAGCCCCATATTGCTTGTATAACTACTAAATACTTCGAAATGGCTACATATGTTCATATTTCTCTAGAGTCTTATATTGAATATGGACTCTGTAAAAGTACATGATTTATTATCAACTCGTGATAAGCCAACCAGCTTTCGAACATTTTCCTTCTGTACGCATTCTCTCTTGAGTGGAAATGCATTTCGCTTGGGGTTTGTAGTTGCTGTAGTGGCTCCCATATTGCGAAATACTTACCCAAAACCAAATGCATCATCAGCATACTTACGGAACACCCAACACAAAATTTGATTTTCAACTGCGAAGGTATGTGGTGAGGTATTTGCCAGGGAGATGGACATTGACCAGCTGCCAGGCTTCGTATCATTCACATGCAGATGGAGTCGGGCCACCCGAAATTAATTCTACATCTTCCATTAATTTCATCAGAGGGCTCAGTCATCTCCAAAGAAAAAGTACATTCCCTCGTACAATCGCATTTCCGTTCATCATTCTATTGTTTGGCCTTTGGCTGCCAGACGCAAAACCCCTAGCAACATCCAAGAAAACGAAAAAAGGATACGGAATTCGAGACACGAAGTTCCTACGACTGTTGCAGTTTTGTCCCTGAAACGGGTGCAGCGGTTAAATTGTCCGTGAAGGATTTATTTCTTGGAAATTATGATTTATAAGGCCGGCAGCCAGTTGCACTCACAGCTTTCATGCGACGCCACAGACAAAAGGAAACCCCAAACCTAAAATCATTGCCAAGCCTCAAACACACTCCTATGCACCACTTTCTTTTATTATTTTTGTCCGTTGACCCCGATTCTTACTGTTCAAATCTCTACCTTTTGCTGAAAGAAAATGTGAAATTAAAACTGAGTTATTCCCTGCTCTTAGCTGCAGGTGAGCTATATTTTTTGAAAAAGCCGCAGTCAGCATATCCTAGCAGCATTTAATTTAATGCTCCTAAAAATGCATTTTTCTAATAATCTGGAACGACCATCCGTAACAACATTTTATTTAGCACTTGCATAAAATATTCATAAATTTTACCATTGCCAATGAAGTGCTATTAATATTAAGTAAATGAACTTATTTATTTTATTTTTAGTAATGAAATGAACTTCAAAAGCAAATTGGAATTTATCAGAACGCAGCTGGCGGAGATAAACAGAACTAAAACTAAACAACTACAAAGCACAAGGAACCCAAAATTTTCCGTAGGAGCTTCATGTACCGTGAAAGTGCTTTCGCTTCCTGGAAGCTCTTATTATTGAAAGGGCTGGGAAAACTAAAAGGATATTTTTGTATGAAGCTTTGGTTGGGGAAAAGTTTTTGAGTCCCTTTGCTAAACTTTTACATATGGTTCTTGTCCTTACTTAGTTGAATATTTAGGCTGTAGCGGGCTATCAGCTATAAAACTCGAGTATGAACACCAAAATTGTAAAGATGGTTCAATTCCTTACTTAGTTCAATATTTGGGCTTTAGCAGGCTATTAAACTCGCAAATAAACCTATCCCAAATTGATCGTTAATTCTTTAATCTAGAATAATTATTCTAGTGTCTTTGACTTAACCATCCCACAGACATCCCAGGGTTGTATCCTGTACAAGCGGCTCCCCTGGAAAATACGAAAATAGCTCCCCCATTTCGTGCTAAGCTTAGAAAGCTCATCTGACTCCTTTATTGTATTAATCGATAGGTATTTTTTGAATATTCCGATTTTTGTTTTTCGGAGCCTGTTTGATTTGATGACAGGGTTAATTTTCGAATTCCGAAAAGATTTTAGTTCATCAATGAAAAAATCCTCTTTAGTAAGAAAATGTTTGGTTTGTTTATTTCTGAATAAAATTGTGGCCAGCTCACTTACACAATCCACGATGTCAGCGGCGATAAGATTAATAAGATCCTTGTAAAATTTATTAAAAGCTGTGGGAGCCCATGCATCTTTGATGTCCTCTGTGGATCGGTTCTGTGGGCGGACCGTGCTTTGTGAGTGGAGATTCCTGTTGTTTCGGGAACTCGGTGTCGACGTAGTGTTCTGGTTCGTAGGTAGCGATAATCTCGTTGGCATTTAGTGGGTCTTTAGTTGCGTCCTGAGACTCCTCCGTATCTAATCGAAATTCGTCCAACCAAGGTTGCCGCTCTCCCTAAGCGGCACTCAAAATCTTCAGTTATTGTATACCATCAATATGCCCAGCGGGTTATCTGGCTCCCTAAATAATGTAAATCAAACATTAGGAATTAGAGTATCACAGGAATTTAGTATTAAGCTGAGATTCTATTCTTATCGTTGTCCTTAGTCAATTAACGGGACATTAATTGGACTCAATAAAACATAAACGTTTCACTATATACCCATCGACTAGTGTGCCCAGGTAGTGCAATGGGTTTTAGTCCTTTCAGGGATGGTCAGTCCAAGTGTGACCAGCTGTGTATCGTTCGTTGACGCGTTATCGGTATCCTAGTGTTGCGCTGTGTTTGAATTTGGGCGGGTGTTTGAATTTGTTTGATATCTTTTAACTTTATTATTTGTCTGGCAAAATAATTTTGAATGACGGGTATCTGAGAGTCGAGAAAATCGACTTCTTTCTTCGATTGTCTTCTTTATATTAACATTTTTCTATTTTAATTGGACATGTGGGAACTTCGGAGCCTGTCTGGCCTTACCAAATTAATCTTAAGAAATTTTGATAACAATTAATACAAACTGAGCGGTGATTATGCGCTCGAGGTGAATTCTAAGCGGTGATTCACTTATTTAAAAGTAATGAATGGATCTGAGAACTTAAGTTGTCGTTGATACCACTTTTATCTCACTTTCGGTTCTGCCGTTAATCCTTATCGATTTTCTGATCAAGACTGGCCTTTCCTGAAGCACCTAACAGCTGCCTTACCTAAAGGCAATGGTAATAAATCTATAAATTATTTACACATATTTATTTACCTTCCCAATTATATGCACAATGCCAATTCCAGATTAGTTTTTTCAGTTATAGTTTTTTCATGTGTATTGAGAAAGCCAGGTACTAGTTGATGTTTATCTGTAAATTAGAGCTTAAGCTAATTGTTAACAGCTGACTTAAAAGATAAATTAAAGATTTTAATTATTAAAATGGCAAAATCAAAGGAGCTTTCAGTTGAGCATTGACTAGTGCATCTGGTACTTCTGCATCAAAATTAGTTGAGTTTGTGGGCGTTAAAGTGGGCGTGTAAAAAAATTGTTGGTAAACCAATAGAAATAGCGAAGACATATAATCAAATGAAATAAAATCAAAACATTTCCTAAAATTTTGATCGTGGCAGCTTAGGACAGCTTGTAGGCGTGCCAACATCAGGAATCGAATCTAGTATACCCTTTTTTTGTACGAATAATGGGTATAAGAACTGTGTACAGTTAAAACGAAGGGCACACTTTGACATTAACATGACCAGTTTTAGTTTTAAATTGTTACATTAAGAATGTTTTTTAAATAAATCATCAAAGATATTTAAGGGCATAGTAATTTATTTATTTATTGTACGCTGTATGCTTAGTTATTAAAACTAAGTTACAGGATGGGTATCAGCCATAGCTGCAGAAGCTTTATTCTAATACTTATTCTCAATTTTTCCTGCTATTCATTTAGCTGTGTAATTGGTATTAAAAATTCACGCCACTCGACTATAGCGTTCTTGTCAACAACTCAACAATGTAAAACCCAATGAAGATCATGTTTATTTTTATTCAAATTTTAAAATGCTTTCGCAGGCATAGTTAATAGTTTAGGGCGTTTTGGTTTAAAAATGGATTAAGTTCAACAATGTTATAGCAAATCGATAGAAAAACGAACGAATAGTATACACTTTTACTCTACGAGTAACGGGTATAAAAGAGACACCTTAGCCACTGTATATAAAATTCTGCAGTGAAATACAAAGGCCTTCCTTCTACATAAATTAAATTAGTTGGCAATTTGAGCTGTAAAATAGCATAAGATAATCATAATAATAATTTTTAACTTTTTTCAAACCCATGTTAGTTGTATTTTTTCCTTCCTCTAGCCTAGAAATATTTGACTGTACTTTATCCACGACCTGATGTTCGTTAGCAACAAGTTAAGAGAGCTAAATTTTTTCGAAGTACAACAAAAAGGGGAGTTTTCCCACTATCGAAAAGCTTTCCCCTTCGAAAGGAGTGCTTTTCTCTTGGGACTTTTAACTCAAAAAAGCCAGCAAATGCCATGCGCCCGCTCCCTAAAATTTTAAGAGCTCTCTCGGTTAGTTCGTCGCCCGCCCGTTTGGCGCTGCAGTCGTCAGTGCCTTTGAATCGGCTACGCCCGAGCGAAGTTGGCCGAGAGGAACGAACGGCATCCTGTGGCCTGGGCCTCTTTTTGGCTGGCTGAAATGGCGAATTTCCATGTCAGTTCACGTTCGATATTTGTGTTGTTTGGTAGCGGCAATCGGGCGACCGTCCAAGCGCCTTAAAAACGAACCGAGCGCGTCGCGCTTATTCCCAAAAATCGTTCTCAAAAATACCACCCAGCGAGTGTGTGTGAGTGCGCGATTTGGCTATGATGTGTGGCTGTGTGCGTATTGAAGTTGTTGCATTGACAAGGAGCGACCAAAAACAACGCCCAGATAAGTAGGCAACGGATATATCAACTTCTTCTGACCTACTCAAGAAAATATAACGAAGCTAAAAGGCAGCGAGCAACGACGGAATTCGCAAGGAGCCAAGCGAAAATTTAAGTTGTTGTGCCAGTGTGTGTGGCTGTGCTCAAGTGTGCGTGTGTGTGAGGCGCCAACTTGCCCCGGCAGAAAAATATAAATAAAAAGTCAGCCAAATGGCAGCCCAAAGGCACAAAAAGTGAAAAGCATATCCCACAGAAAGAAAGAAATATTCAAGAAAATTAAATTCTCCAGTGAAGTGTGACGGAACGAAAAGCCATTCCGGAGAAAGTACGTACATTTTGCAAATCAAAGCAGGGCACTAGGATCCGGTCTGGACTATTAAACGGTAATTGAGTCATAAATCAAGCCATAATTAAACGAACTCACTGCTTTCTTTGGTCACTTCGCCACGCGAGATTAAACTTGAAATGGGCTTTCGGAGGCGATAAAAGTGCTTGATGTCGAAAGAAAACGAAAATCAAACTTCAGCCCGACCTAATCCATCATACGATGTACCTCGAAAAAAAGCGAGAAATCACATGGACCATGAGGGCTTCTTCCACTGATTGATTAGTTGTCGACTTGCGGGCACGCACAAGTCAAGTGTTTTGGCCACGAATATTCTGGCCGATTGGCGCCTTTCGTTATTCGATTGCCCTTGTTGTCTGCCATACAAACAGACAATCGACCTCACACCCTCCAGTTGAGCATTTGACATGAGCAGCGCAATTAGTCCACAAATCGGATTCTGATCCGCGACCTGCCAATGAACCCTGTCAGTCATTAGAGTTCAATTGTTTGCTGCTTGTCGCTTTGTGTATTTGCATTTCAGGCAGGCCCTTTTTGCACTCGGATTTTGAACATGATATTCCGTTGCTGTGAATGCAATTGCTCATTCATAATCCATTTATCCTCGCATTCAGCGAGCTTGTGAAACAGCAGCAAATAAAAAAGGGGATACTTGAAAATCTGAGCTATCATTGCAGTCCTTTTTTATCTTAGCTGTTTGCTATTTTAAATGGGATGGCAATTAGAGAATAATAAAGTTACGAACTTATAAGTTTAAATAAGTGCAATTAGTTTCAGTTTAAGCCAATGTATCTATGACCATCATGAAACATTTCGCTTAATATCTGCCTAATATAACCTGGTGAATGCGAAACACTTGAAAATTATCATTTTTTCAATATTTGTAATCCACGTTAACATTCAACTTACTCTGTTAACAATAAAATATTAGTGTTCAAAAGGATTGCAAAGAACATTTGTTAATTTTGCTTAGGTTTTTCTGCTCTAATACCTTTACTTGATTTTCTTTAATTATACTGAAACAAACCCAAAAATCATTAAGAAATTGTATAATTTATTCCATGATCGTTAATATTGCACTTTTAATGCTGATAAACATTTTACAGAATTTCAATAAATGATATATTTCTTTTAATGAACGAAACATCAAAATGAATCATTCGTTAATCAAAAACAATAAATAACACCGCAGAGAATCCATTGTCATAAATGTGAAATGTAAAATAGAAAAGTACTATTTTCGCTCTGTAATTAAATTTTAATTCGCTGCAGCATTATTCAGCTGTGTAGTTATTTTTCACCCCAATTTGATTAGGTTTGCCGAACAATAATGAATATCATGGTGGATTTCCCAAAAGAAAATTAACTTTTCTTGGCGCGTGTTCGCCCAGCACCCGCACTTGAGTTTTAATTAAATATTAATTTTGATGAGAAAATAATACTAGCACATTAGCGCGCTGACCACCACCAACGGCGATGACCAATGTAATTATTTGCCAGGACCGGAAGTGCTCACTTCATGCATAGCCCTGGCTAATTCCGAAGCTATATCCGATAGCTCCTGGCGATGGTGCTTAGTCGCTGTGATTAATAATGCCTAATTGCAAGTATTTGCGCCAGAGGAAAGAACTCCGCCCGAGCTGCGGAGGGACCCTTCCCCTTTTTGATTGATTGCCACATTTTGTCGCTCTAATACCGAGCTGCCTCGGATAAGTTCGTGGAATCCTTGAGTCTGAGCTCTGTGGATTTCCAGGGGGCTTGGCAGGGCGCCACGTTGCGGCACTTGAAAGCTAATCAACAATTAATGAGCAATTAATATGCAAAATTTGGCGCAGGCTATGGCGTGGTGATGGGCTGGTGATGTGCAATCGGGCAAGGTTTAAATGCATAAATTAATAAACGCTCATTCGATGCGCTTTTCAAGCGATGATGTCGCTCATTAGGCACTCACACACACATATGGGTTAATGAATTTGGCATGAATCAATTGGGAAGCTCAAATAAATCGACAACAATCGAGCAATGTTATATCAGTTAATTATTATGCAGGCGGAAAAACTGTAGTATTTTATTCTCCTGGCGCATCAAAAAAGTAAATAAACTGTAGCCAATAGCAAACATTATAAAATATGCTGCGCCTATGAAAGATTAACCACTTTTTGGTAGCCAACAACCTGAAATATGAATAAGGTTTATTAAATGGCAACTCCAGCAGAATGATTTATTAATTTCTTCCACGTCGAGCTGAATTTGATATGTGTATAGCTAACAAGAAAGTAATGGCATCTGTCATTGATATTGTAACGTGTGCTGATATGTGTGACAAATGCTCAAAAATATATTATTTTCGTAAAATGGCAATTAATTTTTGATGCCCAGCAAAGCACATTAAACAACTAAAAGCCGCACCAAGCAAACATTATGTTTATTTTAGCTTGTGCCATTTACTTGGGTAACAACAAAGTGAGCATTTCGCGAGCGGCTGGCCAAATTCATTTTCAGTTTCCAGCAGTGCTGGGTAAACTGTGCCGATAAGAAAATTATTCTAACCCAATGTTGCCTGGCAATTGCAGTAATAATATGTCACGAATCCGTGCAGCTAAACATAAAATAATGGCAGCCATAAATCATGGACATTGGCCTTGTCAAATGGCAAGAGTTTGATATATTTGCGGCTGGCGAATGCCAAAACTACACGCAATCGGAATACCAACTCAGACCGCAATTGAAGCTATTTGAATAATAGTCGGGTAAAGTAAATTAAAGTAGACCAAATGGGCCCCAGTTCAGACTTGCTACTTGAATGGCTGGCAAATTGCAGTGTAGTTGCTTTCCAGCTTAGATGCTTACACAGTTTCTTTATGTAAAAGTTATCATTTTATATTATCCCGTTTGAAAAAAAGGTTTATTGTTATTTTAGGCGGTGCAGTACAATCTATTCGGAATTTATTTAGCTTATTTAGTTAGCATACACATGAGAAAATTGCTATGAACACCTTAACACCTTGACATATTTTCTGTACAACAATATGTAATTTATAAAATTCGAAATCCCGACCATACATCATTTAAATCACCCTCCATCTGAGAAGCTGCGAGTTGTTTCAAATTTTTTCCCAAGAACTTTACCTCAACTTTTTCTCCATACTTTCCTTCTTCTGTCTGGGTGGGCATCAAAAATGTTGTTTAATTATGCTAATTTAAATTCTTTTCGCTCCGAGCTAATTTTAAACGCATTGCGTGTATTTTCGCGCCAATGCTTTCCGCTCCATGGCTTAATTTCTCGTTCCAGCATGGGCATAATTAAATAATATGGAGGCACACGTTGTCTAGCAGAAAAACAGGAAAAATCGAAAGCGAGGGGGAGGAAACAGCACCAAATGTAGAGATTGATGAAATCGACTCTGGCATTCATTATATTGTTTTGTTTTGCTTTGGTTTCCTTTCATTTTCTTGATGAGGGCAATTAGCAAAGTTTTCCAGCGAAGGCAAACAAGTGAAGCACACTTTTCCGGGGGGCTCCTGTCGCATGCATAGTTTTCGAGCAGCAGGACTATCCGCCATGTAATTGAATATTAATCATACGCCACCCACGCCCATAACTCACAGAAGGGGCGTGGCATTTGCATGGCAGGCTGGACAGGTGAACGAGAGACCCTGCCGCGAATCGAATGCATTTACCAAAGGCAAAATAAGAGTGCCGTGTATGCCAGCAACATTTATTTATGCAACAACAATGACAACAAGGACTTGTTGTCCCCATCCTGTCCGGAACCGAAAAGTCCACCTACGATAACTTCTGCCGGGCACCTGGCATCGCATGCGGGGCCATAAATAAATTTGCTCATATTTCAGCACATGAACAATAATTAAATTCGTTTATATGGCACATGGGATCGGCTAACTGTTCGGAGCCCCTTTTTCCCCGTTTTTTAACCCACCTTGGCCATCATCTTTGCAGTTTTTTGCGCTGACTGCTGACATCCATAATGGAATGAATGCTGATGCTGCTGCCCAATTAATTGTTTTTACTGCCGTTCTCGGTTGAATTTATTCTGCAGTTATTACACCCAGCGATTGGCAGACTAGCAAAGAGCCATATGGGTGCAAATAAATCCCAAGTTTATGAGGACGTACACCAGCTGCAATGAAACCGAATCCCCTTTTTTCGATTGATAAAATCGAAAATTAATTAAGGATTTATTTTGGCCTCTTTCTGGTGGTGCCGTTTAATGGCCTTACGTTTGTTTGATGGCTTTGAATATTCAATGTTTTTTCCATGAATAAAATTCAACAAATGGATTACCAAAGAGTTACTTATGCTCATGAATGGATTGCCTTTATGGATTGGCTTTATCTTGAGTTTGTAGTGTAAAAATCACATTTACTAGTGCATGAGCTTTCTTTTTGCTTTAATAATTAAAGTCGCTTTACAAGGCTTTTCATTCAATTATTATTAAATCTTTACATTAACGGGGCAATTTAAATCTTTGTTGCAATTATATCTTTCCATTTCTGATCCCGCAGAATTCCTTTGACCTTTTTATTTTCCCATTCCGAGAAGCAAGGCGAATATAAATTGTACTGTGGCAGCAATTAAATGAGCAATTCTTTTTCCTCTGAAACATGTGATAAATGTATCTGCGGCGGGACTTTCAATTATAATTAAAAAAACACATCTCTACAGAAACATATTTTAAAAGCGCATCAGAAGATCTGACAAATATTGATTTAAATGTGAGAGCCAAATTAAATTTGCATACATTAAGAATATGCCACATCACCCTCTGCGTTGATAAGTTTTAAATTTCTGACAAGTTGTCGAGGGAATAATCATCGCCCATGGCACTCGTTAAGCGCCAGGAAAGGGAAGCTTTTTTTCAAATCCGCCGAAGGACCATAAAATATCAATGTCTTCTCCTGCCAGCTCCAACTTAAGTCATTGCGTGTTGTGAACTGCCTTCAAGGACTTTCACGACTTACACTGAACAAATTTGTTTCTGAACCTTACTTTCATGTACCAAGCTGCCAAACCTA